AAATAAATTAAAAAAATTACATAAAAACTGAAAACTTTTAAATAGTTGATTTGATATTAACATTGATATATAATTTTTTTAAATTTATATTTTATTCAAAATATCAATAGAGACAAATAATAAAATAAAACATTAAAATCGAAATGTATCTCGTTGCATTACACGAGTACCATTCTAGTTTTATTAAAGCGAAAAATTTACAAAATGATGTTACGAATTATATCATTTTAAATTATTAAGTCTAAACGTTTTTTTAATATTCAATTATTTATTATAACAATTTTTTTTATTAATATAGGAAAGTGTCGATAAGTGTCTATTTCATTTATTAATAATCAAAATAGAATACGCATATTATTTAGTTAAATAAAATTAAGTTAGATGTCTATTTAATTTAATAAATTTCGAATTATTAGCAAGATCAATATTATTTCAAAATAGTATATATATTATTTATGAATTCTTAGTAATATCAGATAGATTTATATACAAGTACTTATTATATTATATTAGAAAGATATTCGTACAATGCATCGATATATCTTGATTTTAATGTTTTGTTTTTTTTTGTCTCAGTCAATGTTATAATACGGTTTTATGTGGTTCTAAGAAAATGATAATGTGATGATATCAGAAAATTTTGAAAAAAAATATATTGACTTTAATATCAAACTAAGTATTTAAGATTTCTCCTTTTTTTGTGTAATTTTTTATTATAATTTGATTTACGTTTAATAACAAAGTTATTTATTTTTTGTTTAATAATATATTTTTTATAAATATAATAATCAGATATTTTGTTAGCATTCAATGATTATTTTAATCATATATTATATTTTTATATATTTAAAATTATATGTTTGTTCTCTATTTGATTATGTTTATTTGTACTTAGTTACACGAATTCAAACATGAAGTTTTAATAGTTTGTACTTACATACAATTTACTTGTAATCTTGAATTTTAAGTAATACGCATCAATAACAGTACTTCATGTATAAAAAAATAGTTTTTAAGAGTTTTAGCCAAATACTTTATAAGATGGTATTGATAGATGAGCTGAAATTACTTAATAATCAAAGTTAATCACAACAAATAAAATGATCATTAAATTATTTTAATCCGCTTATGGCTTTTTGACAAATATTAGCACTTCCAAAAACAAAACTGAATTTGTGCTACTTTCAAAGGGCATTTTTGTCTTTTCATTACACAGGAGTTTCGAAATCGACGAATATGTTACAACTAACAAGTTAAATAACAATAGAATAGAGAACTCGCTCAAAGGCTAGTTTTTATTTCTATCAGCCGGAGAACAAAATACAAAAGTTAATTGTCTTGAATGCACCTCCGGGGGCGAAAATTGGGCAGTTAGCCACCAGGGAAACGTGCTAATAGAAAGAGTTCGAAAACTAGCTACGACGTAGTCATGATGCCTCTCGAACAAATGTAATTTGCCTCGTAAAAAGACGACAAAAAATAATAACTAACTAGCATTTTCTTTCGCTAATTTCGCAGCCTTAGCAATCACCTCGTCAATTCCTCCAACCATATAAAACGACTGTTCGGGGAGATCATCGTATTTTCCATCAAGAACGCCCTACACATATCGTTAAGAAATCGTGTTGGAGATACCAAATTGACGCTTAAAATGCATAAAGTTATAGATTTACAAACGAATGATACCTGGAAACTCGCAATGCTCTCTTTCAACTCGACGTACTTTCCAGGAGCGCCCGTGAACACTTCTGCGACGTGGAAGGGTTGACTCAAGAAACGTTGGATCTTGCGAGCACGTGAGACAGTGAGTTTGTCGTCTTCACTAAGTTCGTCCATTCCTAGAATGGCGATAATATCTTGAAGATTCTTGTAGTTCTGGAGAACCTCTTGTACGCCACGAGCAGTCTTGTAATGCTCTTCGCCAAGAACATGAGGAGAAAGCATTCTAGATGTCGAATCCAAAGGATCAACCGCAGGATAGATTCCCAACTCGGAAATCTACACCAAATTCAGTACCAAAATTAGCAACAACAAAAAATTACAGCTAAAATCTACTTCCCTTTTGGCTTTCTAGCCTTTAGTGCACCTGGTTTGCTCTTGTGTGCATAGAGCAAACTCACAGGTGCACTAGAGTTGTCTTTTAGTTAGGCTACCTGTCGAGATAGCACAGTGGTGGCATCCAAATGAGCGAAAGTGGTTGCGGGAGCCGGATCAGTCAAATCATCCGCAGGCACGTAAATAGCTTGAACGGATGTGATGGATCCTTTCTTGGTCGTAGTAATACGTTCCTGAAGGCCTCCAAGATCCGTAGCTAACGTTGGTTGGTAACCGACGGCAGACGGAATACGACCCAACAAAGCAGACACCTCGGAGTTTGCCTATAAGATCAAAAAAACCGAACATAAGTCCAAACCGTCGAACCACGAAAACCATAATAAAACTCGAGTATCGATGCTTATATTCACCTGAGTGAAACGGAAAATGTTGTCGACAAACAAAAGCACGTCCTGCCCTTCCGCATCACGGAAGTGTTCGGCAACTGTCAATCCCGTGAGCCCGACACGAGCACGAGCACCAGGGGGCTCGTTCATTTGACCGTACACTAGCGCACACTTGCTTTCGGCCTGCATTGTGTGATCACATCCAATTAGTCGATAATTCGATATTTTTATAGCATCATATGATCCATCGATCGAACGATCTGAGATAGATAAACCTGCTTGTCTCCGAGCTTAATGACACCGCTTTCGATCATTTCTCGATACAAATCGTTTCCTTCTCGAGTACGCTCACCGACACCAGCAAACACCGAGAAACCACCTGATTGATCAATGTAAACAAGATCAACCAACATATATCGAACCATTTCATCGAAGTTAACCAAGAAAATCAGAAACAAACCATGAGCCTTTGCGACATTGTTGATCAGTTCCATAATCAGCACCGTCTTCCCGACGCCGGCGCCACCAAACAAACCGATCTTCCCACCTCTTTGATACGGAGCAAGAAGATCCACAACCTGCAAAACGAAAACCATAAACAGTTTATAAGTAAAAACCACCATGAAAACCAACTAAAGATTATAACTCAAAACAAGTAATTAAAGATTATATAAAGAATTAATCACTTTGATTCCGGTATCGAGGATCTGCTGTTCGGTTTCTTGTTCAACGAAAGATGGAGCTTCACGATGAATCGGAAGATAATGGCTCGTTTCTTTAACATTAAAACAATCAGAATCATAAGTGGTTCGAATCGAATAAAAAAGGAAGTGTTCAAACACGTTAAAATGAAATTAAGAAGCCTTACTGAGATCGCCTTTATCGTCGATAGCTTCTCCGATGACATTTATGATACGACCAAGTGTCGCCCGACCAACCGGAATCTGCCATGGAAACAACACTTCAAGTTAATATGAATCTTGAAGCAAGAAAGTGTCGTAAAATCTTACGAAGTTACGATCGTCGTGATTCAGAATGAATTTGATTGGTTTTCTATCGATTACTGTATAGATAAAGCTGCATGCATGGATTAATCTGAATGGAATGAACAGTTCTTTAATTGAAAATGACAGTTTTGAAAAAGACAAGGTGAGTAAACCAATTTCTATATGATTAAGTGATTGCCAAGCATTCATTTATAGCCGCTTACAAGGATCGGAGAGCCGGTGTTGAGAACTTTTTGGCCTCTAACAAGACCTTCAGTTCCATCCATGGCGATCGTCCTCACCATATTCTCACCCAAATGTTGCGCCACCTCTAATACTAGTCTGAACGGATTATCCATCACCTCCAACGCCGTCATGATCGGTGGCAACCCATCTTCAAACCGTACATCCACAACCGCACCGATCACCTGACATACCTGACCAACGGCGCCTTTACCGCTGTGCTCATCTGTAATTTTCCCGCCTGCCTGTGAAGATTTCGGAGACGCCGGAGCTGTGGCGGCAGCCGTCGCGTATCCTGCTGTCGATGCACGGTTCAACAGAAATCCGGCCGGCGAAGGGCGGAAACGTGGACGTGGGTTTGTTGGGTTGTGGCATTTTGTGATTGAGGGTGATTTGAGACGCCGGAAAAGGGAGGATAGAAGCCTCCGGGAAGCCATGTAAAAATCGGAAAATATTAGGGTTTTAATTTCAATTCTTCTTCCGGATTCAAATTAATTCATTGACGTTTGAATTAGAATGGGCATCTGGGATTTGTAAGGAAGATGATGAGTGTGAGTTGTGAGTGAATTACGAGTAAAATATTGGGGTAAAGATCAATTTACAGGGTTGAGATTCGTTCCGATCTAGCAATTCCGATGGAAACGTCGGCGACGAATTCAAACAGCGGGATGGCGCCACGTGTTGTTGGAACACGGCATTTCAGGCGGATTCCAGAGTTGAAATTGTTTTGTTTTTTGCAAAATTAACTTTTGACCCCTTTAGTTTAATGATTTTATCATATATGACACAAAAGTATCGTTTTCTACGAAATAGGCCACAACTTTGAAATGTTGTTCACATTAGACACTACCAAGCTCCTCTAAGAACAACTTTATGTTCAAACGCATATTTAGGTGTAACGATCTCATTTTTAGTAACATTTATTACCTTTTACATTTCCTTTTAATTACACATACTTATTTATACTATATTATAAAACATTTAACAAAAACTCTTAAAAATTATTTTTTATGTATTAAGTATTGTTTATTGATGCATATTGCTTAAAATTCAAGATTACAAGTAAATTATGCGTAAATACAACTTATTAAGCTCCATATTTGAATTCGTGTAACTAACTGCAGATAAATATAATAAAATGCAGGATAAACATCCATTTTGAATATAGAAAATCTAAAATATAATTAAGATAATCATGAAGTTCTAACAGAATGTTTAATATTATCTTTATAAAAATTATATTGTTAAACCAAAAATAAATTACTTTTTTTTTAAATCTAATTTAAATTATAATAAAAAATTGAATTAAAGAAGTTACACAAAAAAACGAGAACTATTAAATAATTAATTTGATACTAATATCGATTTATTTTCAAATTTATGTTATCTTTATATTTATATTTCATTCAAAAATAAAAACATTATTATTTTTTCAAAAACACATACAATCATATTTATATCAAGAGAGACAAGGAATAAAAACTAAAATTTAAAATCGAGATTATTTCGCTGCATTGCACAAGCACCCTTAGTCAAAGAAAAAGCATTTTGATGACTCAACAAGTTTATTAACATGTTTTTATATTTGGGTGTTAATTTGGTCAGGGGGACGGATTATGAAAGTTCGAATGTGATCTATTTCATCTGTTCAACCGATTTTTACAAGCGGAATTTTTTGGGTTATAAAAGGTGGAGGCGTTAAAATTTGAGAGGTCTTTTGGTATATAGAAAATACAATAAATATTGAACAAAAAAAAACCACGAAAATCCCTTAAAACCAACCAGAAAAACTAACAAAGTCCATCAAAATCAACCAAAAAACTTAAAAATCATTTAAATAAACAAAAACGGATTATTTAAAATAGGAATCAAAACACAAATTATTTTGGTAAATAGAAAATACAAGAAATACAATTTACTTTTTAATGCTCAAACTCCATCATTACAGTTTTGAAATAACACGAAACCTCCGATTGCTTCAATTTGCTTATCCCATTATCTTTAGTAAAATCATGGTCATGATGAAAACATTCATAAATCGAGGTTGTAGCATGGTTCATGTTGAACCTAAAGGATCTATTACTGGATAGCCTTTCGTTGCTCGTTGTTACGGATTTTAAGTGAACCCATAAAATTGGGGGTTATTTTGGCTCTTTTCTTAAAAAAAGTAATGTATATGTAAAGCTAGTGTACAATATAAATTAAGCCCAATAAACGACAGATTTAACATTGACTTTATTACGTCTTGTTATAGACTATCGAAATAAATTGGAAAATCAACTGTGGTAAATGAAAAAAGTTTGTCGAGGATTCCTTTTTAGAAGGGAACGAGCACATGAAAATTCGAGAAACCGAAATACTCTTGATCACTCATGAGAATCATGGGAAGTTAACGAAGGATAAGGAACAATAAAACAAAGTTTCGATAAAGATATATTAGTAAGAAACTTTCTGGTAAATATCGATATAGAGTACTCTAAATAAATCTGTATATTGTAATTTGTAAGACTCTACAAATTACTAGGACCACCATTTTTATAATTAAGCGAACGTTAATTACCATTTACCGATAAATTAATAATCTATACATTAGTTAATATTTTATCTATACCATATTATAAAGTATTTGACAAAAACTTTTAAAACCTATTTTTTATGCATGAACTCTGTTTATTAATGCGTATTACTTAAAATTCAAGATTATATAAGTAAATTGTGCGTACGTACAAATTATTAAAACTTTATGTTTAAATTCACGAAACTAAGTGTAGATAAACATAATCAAATATTGGATAAACATCTCATTTTAAATATAAAAAATCTAAATATAATTAAGATAATCATTGATTTCTAACAAAATACTTTAGTTATTATCTTTATAAAAAATTATATTATTAAACCTAAATTAAATTTTTTTGTTAATAAACTTAAATTAAATTATAATTAAAAATTTTGAATTAAGAAAATTACACCAAAACACAAGAACTTTTAAAAAAATTAATTTGATACTGATATCGATATATTTTCTTTTTCAAAATTTTATAATATTTTCAAATTTTATTTTATTCAAAAATAAAAACATTATCGTTTTCTCGAAACCACATAAAACCTATATCGACATAAAAAAGACATAAAATGAAATACTGAAATCAAGATGTATCTCGATGCATTGTACGAGTAAACCCTTCTAGTCATATTATAAAGTATTTAACTCTTAAAACCTAATTTTATACATGAACTCTGTTTATTGATGCATATTATTTAAAATTCAAGAGTATAAGTAAATTATGCGTAAATACAACTTATTAAAACTTTAGGTTTGAATTCATTTAACTAAGTGTAGATAAACATAATTAAATATATGATAATAATTTCATTTTAAATATAAAAAATCTAAAATATAATTAGAATAATTATTGAGTTTTAACCAAATATTTAACTATTATCTTTATAAAAAATTATATTGTTAGATAAAAAATAAGTTAATTCGTTATTAAATTTAAATTAAATTACAGTAAGAAATGAATTACATAAATTACAAAAAAAAAAAAACAACTTTTAGATACTTAATGTAAAATCCGGGGAAAAATGGAGAAAAGAAAAGGAAATGTATATATATTGGTAAAATAAATAAAATAATAATAAAATTTTGGAAATCAGACTAAATGTGAAAGAAAAGATCAAAACAGGAACGAAAAGTGTAAATTTGTCCAAAGTATTGAAACCGGGGGTCTAAAATTCTTTTATAGCAAATAAATAAATTTGGACGAAGGAGACCTGAACACGATGTTTCCTTAATCTTCCTCATAGTTTAGGGGTTGAGTTAGATGTTAGTAGGTTCAAACCAGAATGACCAGTTATGTAAATATGTCGGATTCTGAAATTGAAAAGGATAGAATGATGTCGAGCTTTAAGGCTTCTTATTGGCTCGTTTAGTCAACAACAAGCCAAAAAAAAAAATGGAGATTTAAATAGCCAACATTGATGTCTTCATTTTTTGGTTTTCAAGAAAATTGAATAAACGAGAGATAAATCAGAGCCGGAAAGTGCTTACCCGAGATCTTGGTTTATCGTCATTTTGAGGTAAAATATTCAACCAAATTTCAAGTTCTTTATATGTTTAGCTTCGGCTTTCAAGTTTTTATCGAACCTTAATAGTCGTATGTCTCATATTGGAGTTTAGGGTGTCCGATTTTGAGTTTTTACGAATTTCGACCTTTAGTTAAACTAAGAAGTCCAGCGAAGAGCTGTTATTTTAACTAAATAATTAAACTTTTTATTTATGTTATTAATTAATCAATTTATTTCCTAATCTAATTAATATATTAAATTCAAAATTTTATTCATTTATGTTAATTTATTTTAGGAAATTAATGTTATCTATACTACCTTATTAAACATACTACCCCAAAGTCTTAAAAGTCTTAACTTTTTTAATACCCAAATTACCCTTGAACTTCCTTTACACGCCTCCCCACCCTCCCCAATATGCCTCTTTATTTCACCCGGCTCCCCTCCCCAAGAACACTCTTCCCCTTATCGACTCCCAAGGTGACGATTCACTCCCCAAGATGGTTTCGATTCAGTCTCCAAGATTCACCATCGCACGCCGATTCTCTCTCTCTCTCTCTCTATCGCATGCTCTCCTATCCTCAGGCGACTTATAAATATCAGTCACTCTCTTCACACACGCTCCCATCGCCTCCCTCTTCAAAGCGACGATTCATAATTGATTTCCCAAGATGTTCGATTCAGGCTCTCGGTACGATTCACAATTGATTTCTGAATATGGTGAGTTCTAATCTTTCCCTCTTTAAATGTTCCAATTCGTACTTTAATTGTGATTAGGGTTTTGTTCAAATCATGTGAGGATCCAAGGATCGGTTCTTTCATCAATGTTTGTTTGAAACTTCGTTTGTTTAGCTCCCTGTTTGTTTATCCTGGTAAGCTTCCAGGCAAAACACCCCATATAAAGCGTTATTATTGCTTCGATTTTGGACTAATAGATGCAGACTTTGAACCGAGGTTGGGGGATTGTGGGTTGGGTAAGGTGATGTAGGGTTTTAATGGAAGGGCATTCGGGTATAATGCTCCTGAATGTATCCCAATATTCAGGTATTTCAAAGTGTGTTTGAATTTGATATAATGTGATTTATGGGGATTTACAGGAAAGGAACAATAGGATCATATTGGGATTAAATCTCTTTTTATGATGGAACTTCAGCAGGTTGGCCCTCTAATGGAACAGGTCGCTCCAAGGCCAAAAGGGTTGGCATCCTTCCTTACTCCCCTGTCTAGGGCAACACCTTTGGTCATCTACTTCGAAGAATGAAGTTCCATCAAATTGAAAGTCATCAGTAGAAGCATCAAAAAATGGTTCATCAAGCAAATAATCCTAATCAAAATCCATGGTATTGCTTGTTTCACCAATATTTGTTGATCAATATTATAATTGAAGTGTCGCACCATTTTGTTCACGTATAAAAGCTTTGTATTATTTTAACAACACAACTACTTATAGGTTTTGTCCTCRGATTCTTTATGTCAAGCTCCTTAGTGCTGCACATGTATATTGCAAAATGCGTTAATCTCAAAATAAATACACAAGTGCTATCTAGATTCCCAGGTGCACAGGTGCTTTTGGTCTATTAGAAAAATGCACATGTGCTTTTGGTCAATCCATAACATTTTCTATTGGTCTACACAAAAAGATGCATGGGTGTGTTGGTCTCCAAAACAGTTGCCCCAGCTTTCCTGTTTTCTTGCTTTCTGGATTCAGATCTTGGCTTCATATTACCTGGGTATGCCTCAATTTAATGTTTTCTTTCTAGGTATTTCTATATTTCAGTTTTCTTTCTTATTCTTATAACAACATTTAATTTTATATGAAGCATCTGTGTAACCTTTAATTTCAAATCTTGATTTTCTATATTCCAACATCCATATTGGACTGTCAATGTCACGTTCGTATTGAGTCTGCCTGCATGTGAAAGTTCAGTATATATGTACACTGGTGAGTTCTCTAACCATTTCACATGAGAAAGAGGGGAATTTGTTTGTTGGTTCAGTTGGACTTTGTTCCCGAGGCCTATAAGTAATGGGGCTGTAATAGGACTATTAAGATTAAAGAAAGAACAAGAGTGGTGGCAAACTTTTTTCCTCTATTCTTTTTTTTTATTATCACACACCTGGCTGCTGTGCTTTTAGTTAAGATTCCAGAGCAACTAAAAGGACTCGACAATATGATTGGAAGACAACAACTAAAGTCCTTTATTGTAACAATCAAACAGGTAGATATGAGCAAACGAAGCCACCTCTACTGTAAAATATGATTGGAAGACAACAACTAATGATTCTTTACGCTGTAATGTATATGGAGTAAAAGGAAATTATAGAACATAGTTAGAGGCAAAGGCATTGCTAATGTAAGCTTTTTTTGAATTGTTCAAATTCGTTGCTTGATCCATCCCCATGATATTACAGGCTAGAAGGTATAGAAGCTCATTACAAGCAAAGGAAAAAATACGCTTACCTCTTCACCCATAACAAAGACATTAGGATCAGCAGCCATTATGGTAATGGGTCATTAGGAGATCCCCCAAGAAGAGGAGAAAGCCACTGCGGTAACATGGTTTAAGGCAGCAACAAATGGTGAGCAATCAAGAGTTTTGGTCATCAAGTTTCTTCAATCAGTTGCTTTTCATAGTGTGTCTCTCTCTCTATCTGCATATACACTTGTCTACAACACTGTTATATATATATATATATATATATATATATATATATATATATATATATATATATATATATATATATATATATATATATATATATATATATATATATATATATGGGACCCGTTACAGTCCTAAACTTATTGTTTTCAGATTCTCTTGGTTAAATCTAATGTTGCTGGGTTTGTAGCATTTCTGAATGCAGGATTGTTCTTTCTTCTTGTAAGCTTTTGTAGTCCTAAACTTTAGATTTAGATTCTTCTTTTTAGTGTTACCCGGTAAGTGGGGGTAAYGACTCTTACCATGGTATTGTGCATTTTTAAAATGGGATGAAACATATAWGTGAATTAGCTTTATTGGTTTTRTTTGGTTWTTTATTAATCTCTATGGATTTTGACTTTTTGTTATTGTAGATATGTCAATTGGCAGCGAATGATATGGGACACGACAATGACATTGGACCTACGGAACATGTCGGTTTGATGTAGTTTGTGTTATTGGTTGTTTTGTATGTTCAACTTTTATCTATTCTAGATAACTGTTGTGGATGCTGTTTTTTGCTTTTAATGGAAGTTGGTTGGTTTGGCCAAAGTCCATTGGTGATATCTTTTCGTTGTATTCATGTATTATTCGATGAATGTTGAGTTTGAGATTCAATTTTAGTACAACTTTGCAAAGGAATTATATGTATATACTTATCTTAGTAGTTATTTTCAACTCATAAACATTAATAGACGATATTATATTGGTGGTCGGTGTTTTAAAGTTTGGATAACTAAATGACGTGAGACAAGTTTTGTTTGTTAACATGCCGGTTATAAAAGGTTTTTTTGCCAAAAATATGTTTGTTCGTTCAAAATAACATATTCATATTCAGACTGAATGGAAAAACGTTTTCCATGTGGCTTGATTTTGCTATGGCAATCATGTGTTTATCTGTTGTAATCGTCAATCGCTATTCTCACTTACATAAAACTTATACCCCGCCGCATTGCGCGGGTACACAACTAGTTACTAATTGAGAGTTGTTAGATTATCTTATTTATTCAATATTAGAAGGGTACTCGTGTAATGTATCGAGACATATTTCGATTTCAATGTTTCGTTTTATTTTTTTATCTATGTCGATATAATACGGTTTTATGTGTTTTTGAGAAAGCGATAATGTTTTTATTTTTGAATAAAATATAAATTTGAAAAATATCATAAAAAATATATCAATATTAGTATCAATTAACTATTTAAAAGTTCTTATTTGTAATTTTTTTTAATTCAATTTTTTATTATAATTTAATTTATCAAAGTAACTTAATTTAGGTTTAATAATATATATTTGTATTCTGTTAGAACTCAATAACCATACTAATTATATTTTTTTATTTTTTTATATTTTAAAATAAGATGTTTATCATGTATTTGATTATGTTTATTCGTAGTTAGTTACACGAATTCAAACATAGAGCTTTAATAAGTTGTACTTATGCATAATTTGCTTGTAATCTTGAATTTTAAATAATATACATCAATAAACAGTATTTCATGCATAAAAAATAATTTTTAAAAGTTTTTATTAAATGTTTTATAATATATTATAAATATTAATTTAAATTATTATTTAATTAATATATTGAATTATTTTAGATATCTACAAATTATTCTTTGAGTAATGCTTATTAAGTTACTTATTTCTACATAGTTTAACAACCGTTTTAAATATCGCTTTGTGTTATAAATTTTTAGGACGTTGAACTTGGAGAGATGTAGTTATTAAGTTATTTATTTACGTAATAGATGAATTAGTAATCATGCTTAAGATATCGTCTTAAGATTTATAAATTATGAGACGTCTTTAAGTCGGATTGGGTGATTTCTATATTTTTATTTTTAAACCGATGTAAAGAACGTTAGTAAGCGTAATTGGCCGTAGGTTGAATTTTGGAGAAATTAGTAATTAATGGACTATTTGACTTTATAATTGTCGGTTACCAGTCACCAATTTTCACTAAGCAACCTACATCATCAGGTGAGTATTCATGAGACTTTCAATGAGATGTATACATGCGTACAAATTTATTTTTGAGCATTATATGATTTTTATGGTGATGTGTGCATATGCATGATGTTCCACTTTACATATACGATACAATATATTTTACATGTACGTTCTTTTATGACCAGTTGCATGCTATGTGTTGATTTTGTGTTCAAATAACTCTAGCATACTATTTCATATGAAAGTTTTATGATAAGTTTTAACGGGTGAACATTTGACCAGTAAGTTACACAACAAGTGACATGACCCCGTAATATGTGTCCAGACAAGTGCAGGTCGGACAACCCAAGGAATGCTAGTGGCTAAGTGATCCATACCTGACAAACAGTTTATGAAATCTTTTTTTCAAGTGTTGCATGCTTTGAGGAAATGCATATATTTGGTTCAGAGTTTACCAGTTAATATGTATGATGTGAAATGATTTTTATTAACGTTAACCATGAACTCACTGAGCTTTATAAGTTGACTATAGTATGCATTTCGGAGCAAGGTAGTTTGAGGTTGGATAAAGACAAAGTACACGCTTAGAGTCCTATCTATTATTACTTTTATTTCATTCTTTTGGTTAGATTTATATGTATGGATTAGTTGTAACTTAATATGGTATGAGAACGTTTAAATTATTAGTCGTTATTTTTGGAGTGTTTCAAGAAAATTCTATGCTTGATGATGTGACATTTTTCTTGGAGAACTTAGGATATTACACTTAATTTGATATTAATATCGATATATTGTTAAAAAAATTATATGATATGTTAAAATCTATATTTTATTTTTTATGCAAAACAAGTTAAAGTCGATGGACTAAACCTGTAAGTTGTTAATAGTACAAGGGTAATTTATGTAACCCGTTCTTGCTTTTATATTCTCAAACCAATAGCATCCAAATCCAGAACAATACGGACACAGACAATTGTACGTTGCTGCATAAAACTTGTGTACTGCTCTGGATTGTTAGTTTTATGTATTGGAATAAGATATCCGAAATATGGGAGTGGTAAAGGTCTGAACTCTGGAACTTTTCTTCGGCTTCATGCTTTTGGCGCCATCAATATCACCATCATTTCCGGCTTCAACCGCCGCCAGGAGCCGCCTCTCTCCGGCCAAGTAACCGGAAACTGGTTTCTATATTCTTTCAGAGTAAGCTTCATGTGTAATACCAAACATGGCATCATCATCGTCATCCCAAGCCAAAACCCTAACCCTAGATTCTGCAACCTTATTTCTACAATCCCCACAAATCGTTTCTCCTCCTCTTTCTTTCTCTCTACTATCCGCTGGCTCCTCTCTCCCTCCAATGCCCACAGATTTCCCCCTTTCTAAAGTTATCCCTAAAACCAATTTTATTGTTGACGGTTTCCGATACTCCGGTGACTACTCCGTATCTTACTTCCTCTCCCACTTTCACTCGGATCACTACTGTGGACTTAACGCTAACTGGTCTAGAGGAATTATCTTTTGTTCATCGGTTACTGCTCGTCTTGTTGTCCAAGTGCTTAAAGTTTCGGAATCATTTGTCGTTCCTTTGCCATTGTCGGAGTCAGTTTTGGTCGACGGTTGTGAGATTTCGTTGGTTGACGCAAATCATTGTCCAGGTGCAGTCCAGTTCTTGTTCAAAATTCCAACCGGGGACGGGAGTTGCGAGAGGTATGTGCATACCGGTGACTTTAGGTATTGTAGTTCGATGACATCTGAAACTGGTTTGAAAGAATTTATTGGTGCTGACGCCATTTTCTTGGACACTACCTATTGCAATCCGAAATATGTGTTTCCTTCGCAAGGGGAGTCTATTGATTATGTAGTTAGTATGATTGACAAGTATAGGGTTGAGAATGAGGGTGGTTTGAAGTCTGTTTTGTTTCTTGTTGCTACTTATGTTATTGGTAAAGAGAAAATCTTGCTTGAGATTTCACGTAGATGTAATAGAAAGATACATGTTGATGACAGAAAATTTGGCATTTTGCGTACTCTGGGGTTTGGGAAAGATGCGGTATTTACTAATAAAGAGTGTGAAACTGACGTTCATGTTATTGGGTGGAATGTTTTAGGTGAGACCTGGCCATATTTCCGACCTAATTTTGCAAAGATGCAGGAGATTAAGGATGCTAAGGGGTACTCTAAGGTGGTGGGTTTTGTCCCAACAGGGTGGACCTATGAAGTAAAGCGGAACAAGTTTGCTGTGAGGACAAAGGATTCATTTGAGATACATCTGGTACCTTACAGCGAACACTCAAATTATCAGGAGCTTAGAGAGTATGTAAAGTTTTTGAGACCAAAGCGTGTTATTCCGACAGTAGGTGTGGATGTTGAGAACTTTGATGGGAAACATGTTAATAAGATGCTGAAGCATTTTGCTGGGTTGGTTGATGAAATGGCCATCAAGCAGGACTTCTTGATGGGGTTTCATCGTGGGTCCAAGGAACTGAATGAGAAGGTTGAAAAGGATTCACACAACCTAAATGAAAATGTGCAGGGGCCAGAAAAAGATATGGCTGTTGCTGAACAAGAAGCTCGAAATGATACTTCTGCACTTCATGATCAAAAAGAGGATCGTGGCTCACGGGATTTGGTAATGATAACTGACAAGGAAACGGATGAAATTATACAGGAACTTCGTGATTGTTTGCCTGCTTGGGTTACTAGAGATCAGATGATGGATCTTATCAGTAAATCAGGAAAAAATATTGTTGAAGCAGTTTCTAATTTTTATGAACATGAAACAGAATATCATGAGCAGGTCATTACTAGTACATCTTCTGCTCCTGCATCATTAGAAAGCTCAATTGAGATTCTCAAGGAGGTCATTGCCCATGCTTCATCTACCTGTGCATCCAATAAAACCTTTTCTAAAGACTTCACATCACCTTCATCTCCAGTTAAATTTTTATTAAAAAGCGAGGAGAGTCCAAGTAAAAGAAAAATATCATCTAACATCAAACAATCAAGTAAGAGCAGCATTTCTCCTAACAAAAAGAGGAAAATCAATGACAGTAAGTCAAGCAAGAAGCCTAGAATCACTTCACAACTAGGATCTGGTGGACCAAAGCAATGTACGATAACTAAATTCTTCAATAAGCTTTCCCCTATGGCGTCTCAGGATCGGAGTGCAGGAACTTTGCCTGAACGATCCCACAATGATGACAAGTTGTTGCCAACAACTGCCGTTAGGCATTACAAAGATGAGGTAGATCAGTTCATACAAATCATAAATGGCAGCGAGTCATTGCGTAGCTATGCTACAACCATCTTAGAGGAGACAAAGGGAGATATCAACAAGGCTCTAGACGTGTATTACAACAACTCTAAGGATAAACACAGTGAAACTAATAAGAGGGCAGTGCAGAGTAGCTGTTTTGTTGAAGCCAGCACTGGGATCTGCTCTTATGATCAAGACACCAAAGTAGCAGACAGGGATAAACGTGACAAGTCCTGGTCCAAGCAACCAACAGAGTCCTTGGGGACTCAACCTCCAGCTGGAAATGTGGCCTCCAACCTTGTGTCCTTACCACCTGAGAAGTATTCTCCCACAGACCATGGTTGGTCTTAGTTACTTTGTGGTTCTAGTGTTGTTCAACTTTCTAAATGTATGCTAAAATCCACACATGTTCTTCAAGTTTACTGCAAGTTCTTGTAAAGGGTTGGTACCCATAGATTGAATACAAAGTCAGATTACGTATTTGCCCACAAGTGATTTATCAATGAAATGGGAAAAATTTAAGATAATGGTTTATTGATGATGTTAAACTAGAGTATGTTATTGAGTTCTTAATTTGATAACTTATATAATAGTATAATACTAGGACTTGACTGCTGCAGCTTGCTGGAAAGATGACCAGCCTGCTCCTTATTTACATCTTGCCAGGACATTCAATCTGGTGGAGGACGAAAAAGGAAAGATTAAAGCTACATCTATGCTCTGCAATATGTTTAGGAGGTTTGTTTCTGTTCAAGGCATTAATTTGGTTTTCTTGAATTCCATCATAAATCTCAGTATCAGTTTAAAGATGTTCACAACAGTGGTTGTAGTATGTTCTGTGCTGCCCTTACCTGGAATTTCTCATTTTATACAGCTTATTAATTTTGTCGCCAGAGGATGTGCTGCCAGCTGTTTACTTGTGCACAAACAAAATTGCTCCTGACCATGAAAACACGGTTTGTGCATCTTCTTGCGGTTCATGTTTGCTGTTTGATTTACAACCCTTTTATGTAACAATATAAACATACTCTGTTTGAACAGGATTGGTTGTATATGTGTTGGATTTATCTTTTTGGTTTGGTGGTCAATGAGAGGGTATATTATATATGTTTAGCAATGTTGAATTACAAGTTACTACGACATAAAAAAAATGTGTTGTTAACTTGTTATCCAATCGATAAACTTATTGATCTTCTCATACAAATTGGATAGAATTCTTGGTAAAGTGTGAACTTTTTATAACCTCTTTTGCCTTCGTGACCGTTTTTAAATGCAAAGTGGATTCCATGATGTCCTTAGTAAAACCCTGACTTTAAGTTTCTGTTCTAGTTCAGTTCTGTTTGATCATAACATGATTGTTACTTTTCCCTGGAAGGTATTGCTTCTTTCCCCTGCTTTCTATACTTGAATTGAGAATTATTGTCTCATCTCAAGGAATTTATGCAAATTCTCCCAATTTTTTGAAGTAGGAAGATAGTAGTAAGATGAGATATTGATGATAGAACTTACATAAAATCATGTGGTTCCATTGGCCTTGGGCATTGAAGGCACACATAACTTCAAATGACGTTACTTAATATTTCTTGCATGCCCTTGCATAACGCTTAATAACCTTATTTGTTGACTCAGCTGACCCATTTACTTGAGCGTGTATGGGGTTGAATATGTGAATTAATGTAGGTCAGATGTAAAATCATATAGATCTTTTGAATTAAAAGCAGTCTCATGATCCACAGTTAAGGTTTGAGGAATCCTGAATATATGGGTGATTGTTTATCTTATACAGTTTCTTCCTCATGGGTGGTTGTTTTCAAAGGTTGATCAACTACCCTTTTGCTAAGCATTCATTTGCAACTAGAATAAAGTTGCATGTTTCTAACAGAGGAGCTCTATTGCATACAAATAGCATTATATTCTAGATGTTTTTGGATTATTCATAGTCAAGTGGAATTAAGCTCTTAGTGTAAGAGGAAGTTTAAATTGTAATCCATATAATGCCAGGAAAATACAATATCGGATTTATAAACTCATTAGGTCTGACTGAACATGTTAACATGCAAACACCATTCTGGTCGTTTTAAGCAAATGAGATTGACAAAGAAGGCCTCAATGCAGATTATTTTTCTGTACGTGTTACCAATGTCTTTCATGGACTGTATTAACTTTCACTGGATGATGTCATAGGGTGATATGGTTGTGGTCGTTTATTTTGTTGAATGTTCGTGCATACCTGCTTGATATTGTTTTTTCGTGTAATTGCGATGCAGGAACTGAATATTGGTGGAAGCATAGTCACTGCAGCATTGGAAGAGGCATGTGGGACAAACAGATCGAAAATTCGGGATTTATACAACAGCTTAGGTGATCTTGGTATGGCATTATGATTGTTCATCCCAAAAGATTATCTGGTGCACTTATTTGCCATGCTAAATAATCTATTTGAATAAGGTGATGTTGCTCAACTTTGCCGCCAGACACAAAAACTACTTGCGCCGCCAGCTCCCCTCTCAATCGGAGGTGTTTATTCGGTGCTTCGAGAGATCAGGTATGCAACTCATTTATAAATTTGGCTAATGAAATCAGAGTTGCTGAATATGTTGCTTTCTGAAATATGACATGGCTATGCTTGATTATAAAAATGTCATAATGAGATTGGTATGCATTATAGATTTGTAAATGCCTATCCCATTGCAAACTACAGAGTTATCGATTCCCGTAGTTCCTATAAGTCTAACAACTCTTGTTTTGTTTTGTATGGGGTATGAAATATTGCATCTTTTTTATTGATTGTAAAGTTGTTCTTAAATTGCATTATAGGCTAGCATCCCACTCCACCTTTGACTACATCCTTTTAAAAGCAGGTCATTGTGTTTTGTGCTGTTCCTTTTTTACAATGTCTATGCTTGAAGCCCTTGTCACTGTTTTCAACAAGTCATTAAGAATAGATGATATAGATTCAGGAAATCAGTGTGGAATAGGAGTGGCCGACTGATTGGTAGAATTACTCAACCATGAATTGCAACTTATTAGCTTTTATGTGGAGAATTCTAGTCATTTACTGATGTACTTGTATAAAGCAGAGATAATTGTCATAAGAGTTATCTATTTGCTTAAATGCCAACTAAGTTGGGGTTTCATCTTCCACACTGTATCATATATTGTGATGGCAAGAGGAGCTTGTGTACCACTACAAAATCAAAGAGTTAATGGTATAATTCTTGTTGGAATGTAACATGGAGGGAATGACTGAAAGCATACCCCCATAATGCCTTTTCTTTTCTTTCTAAGAAGGATCGAAATGGCACTAAGTTTTAAGATGAGGATACTACAAAGCATATCACTGCTGTGCTTGTTTTTCTCTTCAACGAAAGTGATTTTTTGGGGTACATTATCTTCGACAACTATAGAGATAGTATTCATGTTCTCAAATCCCTTAGAGCATCTCCAACACCTATGCATAATTTTCCTATAATAGAGTGAAAAATCAGAATCTCTAGAAAATTTACATCCAACTCCAACAGCTACTCTATTTTAGCAATTCTAGCATTAATTATATTAATAAAATATTCAATACATTTAATAAAATATTATTTCTCTCTCCTACACATTTTATTAAAATAACTTTAATTGGTTAGATATAATTAAAATATTATTTTCTCTTATAGAGTTGTAGAGATTTCTCTAAATTCAGAGATTTTCACAATCTCTCCTCTTTTCTCTATTTTAGCATAGATGATAGCATAGTTGTTGGAGCAACAAAAATGCTAAAATACCTCTTTTCTCCATTTTATCATAGCTGTTGGAGATGCTCTTAAAGGCTTGGTTAACCTCATCGTGGTTTCTGATACATCTAACTTTGGGGTACACCAATTTTAGATATGAAGCTTTTGTGATGTTGATCTACGATCATCTCTAGCTTTTTTCCCTTTACTCTTTGGTGATGCTCTTGGCATTCGTTTCTTTTGGAGGATTCTTTAGCTAAAGTTGAATACTGTAGAATAGATAAAGAAGATCACACACCTTGCATAATATTGTATATATGCTCTCATTTTTCTATGATGTATTTGTCTAGTAGTCAAGCATCTATTTATTCTATATATTAATATAGAATTTGTCAGTGTACAAACAGGTAGTGGAAGTACCATGCGGAGGAGAAACCTCATCGTCAATCTGATGAGATCTTGTAGAGAGATGGAGATCAAGTTTATAGTCAGAACATTGGTAAGTTTTCAATTGAATATTTTGATTATTAAAGTTGTGTCGCAGCACCTTGAAAACCTGAACCTTTTGAGAAATTGGGATATATGAGCAGTTGGTTTGTGGATTTGATTGCGTTGGCTGTAGAATTTAGATTTCCTTGAGATCTCTGTAATTGAATTGCATGTGAATCAAATTTTGTTTTATAAAGAAAAGAACCGGCATACTGTTTCATAGTCAATTATCAGTTTTGGGTGGCTCATCGCTTTTTGCTATCAATCTTAACCTGTATAAAGCCAGTGATCCTACAACATCAGTAAAGAAGCTACCTTTGATCACTAAAACTATCAACCTCGCCAACATGGAAACTAACTTCACTTGCTAATGACTTTTGATTCATTTTCTCTTCTGGAAATTGCATCAAAGCATGAGGTTGGACAGCATTTATTTACTTAAGCTTCATCTGTTCCTGATATGACCCCCACTCTGGCATGCATGATCGCCACGGAATATTTTGTCTTTTTCTTTTGCCTACAATTGGCTTGTACTTTTTGTTGAGCCAAGATTGTTGAATTAGCAAATGTAGATTGCTAGGATCCTTGAGCTCCCTATTGTCGGTTTATTAGAATCGTAAAATATATATATATATATATATATATATATATATATATATAAAGCTCGGCTCCTTTTATATATATATATATGCAGAGCTTTAATTTCTTTCTTGTTTTTATCATTTTCAGTTTAGTGGGTAGTTGGATTTGAGTGGCAAAAGAACCAAAAACATTTAATTTGAAATTTAAGTATAAATTGAGATCTAACCTCCACCATTGAAATGCTTTAGTTGGTTGATGCTAATAAACTCATAAATAAGTAGGTTCCGAACTCTTATCACTGCAAGTCATGTATTTAAATTTGTTAGTATTATCCGGACTCATCTGTGTCCGATTTCATGTAACATATTTTGGTTTTTGGTGATGTGTAGGTTAGGAATTTAAGAATTGGGGCCATGATGAGAACTGTTTTGCCTGCATTAGCTCAGGCTATTGTTATGAACTCTGGTCATGAAAGAACCATGGAAAATCTGAAAGAAAGGCTTCAGGTTAGTTCTTGTTGATGATTCCAGAGTTTGGATCTCATATTCAGTGAGCCCTTAGTCATCTATCCTCTTGGTATCAAGGGCTGTGATGCTGTTCTTATTTTTATCACCAAAGACCGTGCTTATTTAGATGGTCAAGATTAGTTTGCTATTCTCGGGGTTTTCTACTGACATACTGTTTTTTATTAGGGGCTCTCTGCAGCAGTTGTTGAAGCATATAACATACTCCCAAATTTAGTAAGTGATCTTTTGCACTGGATTTCTATTAGTTTCTACTTCAGATTGATGAAAATAATATGCTTTGTGCTGGAATGCGGTGAATCATTCTGTTTTTCTTAGAAACTACTTTATTGTTTCTTTTCTACAGTTTTTTCGGTTTTCATGGCTCTATAGTGAATTAGCAATTTATACACTATTTTATTCTTCAGGATTTGCTCATTCCTTCTGTTATGGACAATGGGATTAAATTTTCCCCAGAAACATTGTCGATGGTTCCAGGGATACCGATTAAGCCAATGCTTGCGAAGTATACACAACCTACTGTTCTTACTCCTCTTTTCATGAAAGAGTTGATGTTATTTATATGATAGTTAAATGTTTCTGTTATAGAATTACTAATGGAATCCCTCAAGCGTTGAAGCTCTTTCAAGGAAAAGCACTTACTTGCGAATTTAAGTAAGTCTTGTTTATTGGATTTGATAAATCATATCTCAAGCCATTATTCGTTTGTTAGTTGGGTAAATTATTTATTGTATTATGCTAGTCTTTGATCGACTTTCACTTTGATATATTTGAAGTGACAATATCATGAGCATTGAGCAGAGTAGGTTTATCTGTGTATGGGTCATTAAAGATCCCTTTGCATGAAATTGAAGTTTGGTCATGGGGATAATATATGGCCTGCAAGGAAAAAGTGGGGAAGGGGGGATCGAGGATCTCCTTCCTGTGGTGCTTTAGAAACTTAAGTTAATAGAGGATTTGGTTAAGCCAAGATTCTTTCTGGTTGCAGCATCTCTCACCTCTCTCCATCTGACACATAATAAACCAATTAGATCTGATTCTGATGAAAAGAAATAGCCTTCTGTTTTCACATAGTTGTGGGAGAGACATGGACAATTTAAGATGCAAAGCATCTATATAAATTGATTGTTGCTTTGTACACTTTTACACTTTATGTAGGCCTCTACTGTTGAGAAAGTTAAGAAGGCACCAAAAACAATAAGAGGGTGAATTGAAGTTTAAGTTCATTGAATTGGATAACCTAAATGTCAAGTATAGGTGCATAACAAATTGGAAAAGGTGGGGACTTGAATAGGGAAGAAGGGACCATGCTTTTTAGACCCTTTGTAATCCTCCAGGATTGGCATGTGACTGAAAGAAATCAGGTGCTTTGTTTGGTGATTCTTAACTTATCTTTTAGATATTAGATTATGTCTACTATATGTTGTAATTATTTGCTCTGTTCACCTTATGCACTTGATGTCATCTTAATGTGTTACATCCCCTTCAAAAAGGGATTTTCTTTCTCTTTCATGAATATACCTTTGATCAAATTATTTGGGTAGAACTGAACACATTTACACATGTTTTGTAGATATGATGGTCAGCGTGCCCAAATTCACAAATTAGCTGATGGATCTATACGTGTGTTTTCGCGAAACGGGGACGAAACAACTTTTAGATTTCCTGATCTAATAAGTATAATAAATGAGCTTTGCAATCCTGATACTGTGACTTTCATAATTGATGCAGAGGTATGTATTTATAATGAACTTCATCATGATTTATTTGCCATTACTGATCTTTGGCTTCTGTAGGATGTTGAGAAGTATCTTTATCAGTATGTAGTTGATTTTGTATTAACTTCCGGCTGCAGGTGGTCGCTGTCGATAGAAAAAATGGTCCCAAGCTTCTATCGTTCCAAGAACTATCTTCTCGTGATAGAGGGGGCAAAAATTCATTTATTGCAGTAGATAAGATAAAGGCCCGAATCTATTCCATCACAAGTATTCTGACAAAATTATTCTTTGAGCATCGTGGTGCTTATTTAGTACTGATAACGTTTTCAACTTGTATATTTTTTATGTTTTGGTTCTATCTCTCATAACATCCCCTTTATCTTTCAAATGTATTCTTTCCTTGCAGGTTGATATATGTGTCTTCGCATTTGATGTCATGTTCGCTAATGGGGAACAGTAATGATCTTGATCCTACTCTTTAATATTTTTGAATTTTCATGCATTTATTGTTTCTCACGGTAGGCGGAACGATGATTGAACAGTAGAAAAGCAAGTGGGTGTGTGAGAAATTCTCTTGGTTTGAAGTATGAAAGCATTGGCCCTAGGATCTAGGAAGAGAAATTTTGAGGTTGGGATTGATAAAGTTAAATAAGTTGTTCAACTATTTGCTATGGTTCTGCGATATATGACATCAGTGTAGCATGAACTCATCACTTGTAAGATAGGCTGCAAGATTTGATTTTTCACATCTTAATTAACATAATTAAATTTTCTTAAAATCATATGCTGCAATTCAAAGATACTTAGCAACCCAACTATTGTAACATAAAGATGGTTAGTGGATCAACGAATCTTCCCCCCTTATTGCACTTACTCTTGGTATTGCAAAAACTTTATTATTCTAATCCAGCTATTTGTTACAGGCTGTTGGGTTTACCTCTGCGGCAAAGAAGAAAATGTAAGATTACCCATTTCTATCTGCAGTTGTGTTTTATTTTTTCTGTTGCCTAATGTATTTTGCTGTTGATCTCAGATTTGAACGATTTGTTTGGTGATGAGAAGAAGGGATATTTTGAATATTCACAGCAAATAACAGTGAGTTTCTTGCTATTATGTTCCGAATTGATGACTGCTGTTTAGTTTACTACTCCCTCCGTCCAAAATAAATGTCCACTATGAGAAAGGACACGGGTGTTAGAGATGTGTAATTATTACAATTTTAATTAACTAAATGACAATTTTACCCTCAACAATGGAGAGAGTAATGAGTTTCTCCATCTCATAATTAAGGGTAGAGTTGGAATGTAGGCACTTACTTTTGAAAATAGACAGTTATTTTGGGACAAACTAAGATAGAAATGTGGACGCTTATTTTGGGACGGAGGGAATATACTTTTTGTGTTGTTTTATAGTTGCCATGCTGTTGTAGGTGGAGGTGGATGATGCTTATGTTACCAATGAAGCCACAATGACTAAGATGAATAAGTTTTTTGATGATGCTTTTCATTCCTCATGTGAAGGAATCATGGTTAAATCTCTTGATGTTGATGCTGGTTATCTCCCGTCAAAGCGTTCGGATTCTTGGTTAAAGGTTTACTATTACCAGTTGTTATGTGATTCTGTGTTAAATCATCTTTTGGAGCTCAAAAAGCATAATCATTTTGCAGGTCAAGCGAGATTACGTGGAAGGTTTAAATGATTCCCTGGACTTGGTTCCTATTGGTGCTTGGTATGGAAATGGAAGGAAGGCAGGATGGTAAGAATTACATTATACTAATAGTTAAAATTATTAGATTAAATTACATAAATTGTCCTTGCGGTTTATGCAAACTCTGTCAATTGCCACTTCAGCTTCGAATTTACACCAAAGCCCCCATTGTTTCCTTAAGTCCATCCATTAAGGTGAGGGTCTTGTGGTCATTTTGCATAGCATCTATTCTTTGTTCTCCAACCCTGAATCAAAAAATCCTCAGAAAATGAAGAACATGAACATTGGACCAAACAAATCCAAATAAAATTAAAGCAGAAATTTATGTTTTTTTGGGGTTTTAATCAAAAAACAGATCCAACTTTGTTATCCAGTTGAATTCTCGTTATGTTGTGTGTGCATTCTGTTTGTTAGGTACAGTCCATTTCTCATGGCGTGCTTTGATCCTGACACCGATGAATATCAAAGTGTTTGCCGTGTGATGTCTGGTTTCTCTGATGGTTTCTATGTAGAGGTTTGTTGTTTTTAAAACTCTGATCATTCATTCTACTTATAGCACTAGAAGACTGCATCTTCTCCTTGTTGATGAGAAGCTAAGCTACTTCCCGTTTTATCGTATCTCATACTGAAAATATTGCAACATTTTATATATTTGAAACATGTTGTTAAAACTACTTTAGCGTTACAGGTGAGTTAATAGTATCGATTTTGGCCCACACGGTTCTACTATTTTGTTTCTTAAGGGTATTTAACAAATAGTTGATAAATTATTTTATGTCAAATTAAGGCCATGTTTGGCAGGCATAAGGCAGCTTATTTTTTAACTTATTGAATAAGCTCTGTTTGGTTCTGTTTGGTTACCCACAAGCTAACTTTTTGGAACGGTACTTCAGGGGTTTTTTTTCCCATCATATAGTTTTCCGATTAATTTTTCAACATGGCCTTTTAGGTCATTTTACTTGATCATCTAAATTTTCAGCTAGTTTTTACCAAACATGACTAGCTAGATGTTGCAATCTTTATTTGTGATTTGCTTTCTCATGGCAAATATTGAACCCAACAGAACATCGACATTTGGAGAAAGTTGCTTGCACCACAGAGTGATACTTGGGTTTTTGTTTCTTGCAGATGAAAGACTTCTTTGTAGATGACAAGATCCTACCAAAAAATGAGAAACCTTCATATTATCAAACGGGCGAGGAGCCTGATATGTGGTTTACTCCGGAACTAGTCTGGGAGATACGGGGTGCAGACTTTACAGTATCGCCGGTGCACCATGCAGCTATCGGTTTAGTGCATCCTTCACGTGGCATTTCTGTGAGGTTCCCGAGATTCATTCGATCCCGGTCAGATAAGAAGCCGAGTGGTTGTAGCACTGCCATGGATATAGCAGAAATGTTTCATCTGCAAACACGAAAGATGGATGTTCGGGGTGGTAACTGAATCGAGATTCCTTTTGGTTGCCAGTGTTTACATGTAAATAGTTTTTCATAGCTGCGAATATGATGGTACTTCAACCTCAAGAGGCTACCATGAATACTGTACTGTATGGATGTTTTTCGAAGTTATCTTTATGCATATTATCAATGTCAGCCGCTAGATCGTTAATAATACGAAGGATTTGATCACGTGTTTTTGAAAAGAAGGGGCATTTTCGTCTTTTTAAGGGAAACCGGATGGTTTTCTCTCCTTTATTCACCTTCGTCCACATCATTTATCTTAGCATACTTGTATTATACCATGACTGAAATATTAACAAATTAATACAAGACAAAGCGAAATAAAGATATCATAAGGTGCATTTGGTGCACGGATAAGACCATATAGACGAGAGTGAGGTTGGTAGCGGCGTGCAGAAAGTCGGATATGTTCGGCACATGAAGCATCTCATAAGAGAACCAATCCCATTGCCATCTCTAATTGTTCTTGCAAAAAGGTGTGAATCAAATAGCGCAAACTATCCTCTATTGTCGTTGGCAAAACTCAACGGTCCAGAAAACGGTTGAAACACGACAATGTACCATATTTAATGGTTCGGATTACATCTAGCAAACCCAAAAACGAACACACCAACATTTAAAGTGACATTGAGCACGAACCCAACAAAACTTCCAAGTAACGCACAAAAATATGCTATTTCATCGTCTTCTCTTTTCTGTAAACTATCTTTGCTTGCAGCAAATTGCCCTTCAGATGTCACTTTTAGGCTTCTTGGCCGATTTTTTCGGTTTTTTGGCCACCGAATCATCAGATGTTTTCTGCAGCCGAAACAATAAAGAGCTTGCTTTAAAATTTTGGCTCCACAACTCAAAAAAGTATAACCATCGTCATATGAGTAACAAACAATGTACCTTCCTTAGTCTCTTCCGCTGTCTCTGTCTCCCTTTGTTTTTCTTCGACTTCTGTGATGCATTCTTGTTTGACTGATACACAAATCACGGTTCGTTAATTTTTGTACCTATCAAACATCTCGATGGGACCCACCTTATGAAACAATAAGGAGCTACAAGCATCCACAATGGAGTTTTATGGAGAGCTTTTTTGGACACCTAAGCTTGGAAAAAAGCTCCCAACATAAAGAACCCCTCTTTTTTGGAAAAAGCTTCGATGAAAAAGTTCACCATTGTCGATGCTTTAAACAAATATACGATTACGAAAAGTGTGCTTTTGAATTGCAGACCTGTACAAGAGCAAGAGTTGCCGCATGCCTCTCCTGGTGAGTTTCTCCGTCGTCTTCTTCTCCCTCTATTTCTCCATCACTATTTAGCATCATCTTAAGCCTGCCTTCCTTCAATAGTTTTTCAGATCGAGCATGCCTCTATTATAAATCACACAAAAACGAATAATGTTATGGAGTACAGATGCTTAATAGCTACTATTCTTACAGTTTGTCATGGGTTTTCATTTAATTTTTGTTTCGCAAGTTAGGGGTCTTTGTGAAAACAGTCTCGCCATCACTTGGCATAGAAGAAAGGTCTGCATATATCCTACCCCCTAACTCTACCTCTGCATGGTATTTGTTGCTAGCTGATAAACTAGTCAGGTTTGGTAAAAACTAGTTGATAAATTATATGACAATGTAAAATGACCTAAGAAGCATAATTGAACAAAATGAACAAAATAAGCCAATAAACCATCTGAAGTAGCTTTTTCATAAATCTAGCTTATAGCTTACCACATGAAACCTTTTTAATGAGCTTAAAAAATAAGCTAGCTTAATGATGCCCCTTAATCAAGTAGCATCACAAACAGTCATGCAAAAGATTGTCGGTCTCCTGCAGTAGCAGCTACCATGGTAAAGTTGGTGCAAGTATAGTTTTATCTACAGACATTTCCTAAATGCTCAGCTAAACCATTTTATGCTTATGCAAGAAGGAAGTAATTATAAATTATGTAATAAGAAGTTGCTATTTACATCATGACAATGCACAGATTACCCACTTAAAAACAGCAAACACGGATTTTGCAACAAGATTCCCTGAAAATAAAGATTATGATCAATAGTTATCTACAAGTTTCTCTATTCAGGATAGGAATGCTTATACATCAAGCGGGAAATAATAGGGGTATTGTTTTTTTTTAAGACGTGCTGAAGTCTGGAGTCTTATTTTAGGGTTTAGGGTCTTATTTTACTTATTGAGAAGAGGTGGTGCTGAAGTCTGAAAGCAGAATAAAAAAGACTGCTTGTTTTTGTAAATTGATATGTCTAGATAAGTAAAACTGTCTATTTCTAGTTAGTAATAAATACATTTATAATGAAATTTTATAATAAAATAAATATGACATTTTCAAAGTTACTGAAAAAATATAATTATTTCTATTTAATTTAGAAAAATATATATTTTTTTATAATGAACATATATATAAAAGTAATTAATTGTTCATGGAAAAGGAATAAAAAATGATGAAGATGGAAGCCAATAAGAGGAAGGCAAGAGGTTTAAGCTCTTACTGCAGGAAAAAACAGGTCATATAAATGGAAACTCTTATCAGGTAAATAAAAGGTAAAATACAAAAAATAAATGGCACCGAAGAGATTGCCCACCTTGGATTTGAGATGAGCCTTTAATGTTTCCTCAGTTAGACAGACGATTCTTGGGCATAACTTGCACTTGAAAACAGATTTACTTTTCAAAACACAATCCATAACATCAGTTGTGACTGTAGTATTCTTATCAGAATGGTTATCAGCAGACACTCGGGTGTCAATCACATCTTGTTTGTAATTCTCACCTTCACTGACATCATCATTTGTGGGTAGACCTGCAAATCATCAAATCTTTCGACATTAAGAAGCATGACACAATGAATAACTAAAGATATGACTTGAGTTTCTAGACAGTTATAAACAAGTGCCAATCTAATTAACATTAAAAGTGATGGCATTAAAAATGGCTGCAAAGTCAAGAAGCAAGTGACAGGCCTCACGGCCATCTAAAGGAAACAATTTACGTATCTTAAAATCTTAAATAATATAAATAATTCAACCTGAAGCATCAAGATTAACTTCATTTCCTGAGCTATCCTCGCTTTCATATCCTGAAAAAACAAGACTCAGTAAGATTGATGGTGTCATGAAGCAAAATCTGAACTTCATGACGAAAAAGTATAACAACCAATCTTTTATCCGAAACTAGAAGAGGTGGGATAGGATTCTAGTACTCACACTGTCCCATTAAAATTGCAACATTTGACGGGATACATGGCTTATGAAATCAGTTAGCTATCAGTCAAATGACTTAAATAACCTCAAACTAGTAACGACGATGGCAATATGCAAATAGGTATTTCTAATTCTGAATTTTGCCACAGAAAAGAAGTGTTGCTAATTTTCAAGGACATCCCGAAAAGGAAAGCCTTGCGGTTTTCATGGGACAAAAGAGTATTCATTAATGCAGTATCAAGATGAAGAACACGAAGTAGCTAGAAAAGCTCAATAACCCCTAACATGGCTGCCAATAGAGGAGTGATATCAGCTGGGCTCAGCTACAGAGATAAAACTGAAGGAATGCAATAACAAACCAGAAGATGACGAGCAAGGCTGGTCTTTTTTCCTTGATTCCACGACCATGTTGTTATCATAATCTTCCTCTTCTTCTGTATCTACTGATGCTTCTGCATCCAGTTCAGAGTCCGAAGATGAAGACGAACCAGAGGCAGCATCTTTATCCCCATGTTCTTGCTTGTAAAACCTCCTTTTAATCATATCTTCCACTAACTAAACTTCCTAGCAGAACAATAATCCAAGTAAGCCACATACATGAACTCACAAGCTCCACATATTCTCAAATTCTCTCACACATATGCAAGTTCATGCTCAAAGTAATAATATCTCTGTTAACATTCATTCTAAATTAGAGTTTTAGATGTCAAATTAGTACAGATTGTTGCAAATTTAACACCAACATTCTTCTACTAATGGTACCTGCTATGGAACTCAAAACAACTACCAATTTTCTGTCAAAGAAGCATGAAATCCACATCAATGCCAAAATTGAAAACCAACCCTTTTGAAATCAGATGATAAATCCCAGGTGGTCTTTCTAACACACCCCTTTGAATTAACAACATGGCAAATGCATTTCTTCTTATAAATCGTAGAATACCTTCAAAAATTGCAGTGAAAAATGTACTGTAAACACATTTAGTCGGTGCCCTAGTTGACGAATGAAAGTAAAAAAGAGCAAGCAACACAGAATCAAATGAAGAAAAAAGAGGGGGAAAGACGAGAGTTGGTCCCCTAACTTCCCGTTGAAATACAATTATAACTAGTTGCAGGATAAACATCTAGCCAAAATCGAGTTTGTGTTTGTGAGAAAGCTCACGAAGTAATGGAAGATAGCTAACCTGCGAGAATGGCGACTCTTGAAGGAGGCGGCGACCGGAAAAGGGTTTATACGACCGTCGGAGAAATATCGGAGGTGTGATCAATAGATTAGGTCAAGGGAGAGTTGCACCTTATATTACTTACTCCCCAAACAAAAAGGTAGCAGGAGGGACCAAAAGTGAAACATATTAGAAATTGAAGGATCAAAGTTACAATTAGGTCAAAGTAGTGTCTAATATTGCACTTTTTATTACCACCTATTTCCTAACTCATATCAGGTTCAAATCCAAAATAAAATAAAAATAAAAAATTTATTTATGATCATGAAAGTTTAAATACGGTGACTCCGAGCTATCTGCAAAGCAGGTGGTCGTCTTGGGATTATTAGTCAACTCACATAGCAAGTTGGATATCCAGATTAATAAAAAAAAAAAAAACTCTTTTAAAGGTCTATAATGGTAAGAACCTTCTTGTTATGGATTTTATTGATTTTTTCAACATCAATAATAATTATAAAATCAAGAAAATAAAATAAAAAATTAGAAAAATGTCACTTCTGACAAACTTCATGGTAAGAACCAATTTTCTTGTACAAAAACTTAACAAAATAAGGTTCTTATAATAACTCTCTATAATGGTAGTTCTTAAAGTCGCTTCATCTTTTTTAATAAAAACCTTGTATTGAAGATGCTCTTGATATATATATATATATATATATAGCAGGTTCAAATGAAAACCATGTCATTCTAAAAAACCGTGTAAACCAAAATCAACCAATAGGAAAATTTCATTCTTTTTTAATTAAACTTAATCAATAAGGTCACTTTGGTCATTTTCATTATTTTTTTTTTCATAAATAAGAAAGTTATTAAGGAATATTAAATAAAGAAATTTAATAATGGAAATTATATAAATGGAATGATTTAAAGATTTTAATATTTCATAATATTAAAAATTGATTTTTTTTATTCAATGAAGCTGGAAACATTCATGAAGATTTTATCTTGTTATGTAATGAATGAATGATTTGAGGTTTATTATCAAAAATTACCGGTTATGAACCTGTTTCATATGAAAAGGTTTTAAAATGAAAACGTTTCATATTACCATAGCATAATATATTAATATTCATATGAAAATGTTTCATTACGAAGAAAATGTTGCATATTATATTAAATGCATAATGAAAATGTTTCATAATGATGAAACATGTTCATAATGAAACTGTTTCATAATGAAAAGGTTCATATGGGGCAAATTTCATGAAACTGTTTCATAATGAAAAAAGTTCATGATGATGAAGCATGTTCATGATCTAATACTCTAGGCATATTGTCCAAATTAATACTCTAGGCATATTGTCCAAATTAATACTCTAGGCATATTATCCACTTTAATGAAAAAGGTTTCATGAAACTGTTTCATAATGAAAAGGTTCATAATGATGAATCATGTTCATATGAGTGGAATAAGGAAAATGAACTATTGATGCAACGGTTTCATCAAACGTTTCAAAACAGTTGAAAAATCGAAACAATATAATATCTCTATTTTCTAATGAAAATATTGTAATGAATAGTTTCATAAACAAAGTTCAAAGAACAATGGTCATGAAACTGTTTCAATGTGAAAATGTTTCATTGTAAAATGGTTTATTTGCTCCGTCTATGCATATTATACGTGTTAATGAAATAGGTGCTTTGTGATTGAAGTTTCATGGTTATCCTTGTTGCTTTGTGATTGAATGTACATCTAGGTTCATGGTGATCCATGTTGCTTTGTGATTGAAGTTGATCCGTTTAGTTGGTAGGATGAAAATGAAACAGGTGCGTAATGTATTGTGTTCTTTTATGAAATAAATATATGATGAAACGAGTGCATGTTATATTTTGTTCTTTATG